GATTCATAATGAGTTTCATAATAGTTCAGCTAATGTTGCTAGTGTTTCAGTGGAGAATGAGAACAAGAAAATGGAGCCTGATCAATCACCACATCTTTCTAGAAATCAATACAACACAATGACCTCAGCTATACCAGAATATACTAGATTTAATTCCTCATACTTACCTACTGGTCAGAATTTACCTGTCGTTGGTACATCTCAGCCTTAACCTTATTTTAGTAATCAATTTTCTGGAGGATATGTTGGTGGCCGAGGTAGAGGTTGTACAGGAGGTAGAAACAATTTTTTTTTGTCAAGTTTGTGGAAAAGCTGGACATCTTGCCTTACACTGCTATCATCGGTTTGATGTAAATTTTATTGGACATAATTCTTATGTCAGAGACAACTTTAATCCACCTGGTTTTATGAGATCATCTGCATCTTTAATAAACGGACTATACACTTCTGCTCCTTCTCCTCCTCCTCCTCATTACACACAAGACAGTTTCTCTGGACCATTACCATCATATCAACTTGGATACCACACTCAATTCTTGCCAAATGCTGGTCCACTTTCTACACCTACTGTAAATCAGCCAACAACTCATAATGCCAGTCAATCCAATCAAGTGTTCATGGCACAATCTCAATCTTCTAATCAAACACCTGCTGCTATCAATTATGTTGCTTCACCAATCTCTATTCAAGATGCAGCCTGGTATATGGATTCAGGAGCCACGGATCATGTTACTTCAGATTTTTCACAGCTTACAACAAACTCTCCCTACACCGGAAATGAACAACTCCAGGTTGGCAATGGTGAGTTGTTATCAATCTCTCATACTGGTTCTGGTACATTACTCTGCCCTGTTAAAACTTTGCACCTCAAACATATTTTATTTGTTCCTCATATCACAAAGAATTTACTTAGTGTATCCAAGCTCACTAGAGATAATGATGTTCTTGTGGAATTCTTTACTGATCATTGTGTGGTTAAGGACAAAATGTCACAGGTCATTCTTCTTCACGGGGTATTTAGAGCTGGACTTTATCGCATTCAAGTCCCAGTTCATTCACCGTATTCTTCATCTAGTGTAGTTTTGGATCCCCCAGTCTCCTTAAAGTCCATTGGCAACAGTCTTGTTCCCCATGTCAAAGTCTCTAATAAGAATGTTGATATCCTGTCTGCAACTCAAAAATTGTATTCCACTTTCAATAAGTGTACACCTTTGAATGTATCTGTCAATAATCAGTCTTGTATTGATCATGTTAATCCATCTAAATCTGCTTCAACTTCAGTTGTAACTGATACCTCTATTGGCAATAAATTGAATGCTTTTCCAACCTGCAAAACTGATTTTATGCTATGGCATAAACGTCTTGGTCATCCTAACATTTTAGTACTCACAAACATTCTTAAAACTCTAAAATTACCTCATCCTGCGAACCAGACATCAAATTTTCCAAGCCTGCTAGTATGGCAAACCACATCAGTCTACCTACCCCAAGTCTGGTTCTCATGCATCCAAACCACTTGAACTTATTCATTCAGATCTTTGGGGACCCTCACCAATCACCTCCCCTGAAGGCTTCAGATATTACATACAATTTTTGGATGACCACACTAGATTTACTTGGATCTTTCCTTTAAAGAACAAATCTGACACTTACACCATTTTTACTCAGTTCCACAAACTAGTAGAAAAACAATTTAATGCCTCTGTCAAATGTGTCCAAACTGATTGGGGAGGGGAGTATAGGAGTTTGGTCTCTTATTTTAAGGATCATGGCATACTCTTTAGGCATCCTTGTCCTCATACCCATCAACAAAATAGGAGAGTAGAGAGGAAGCATCATCAGATTGTGGAACAAGGTTTAACTCTTCTTACACAAGCTGGTATGCCACTAAAGTATTGGTGATTTACGTTTCAAACCTCAATTTATCTTACAAATAGACTTCCGTCCCCTATCCTTGATAATCTCTGTCCTTTCCAAAAACTCTTTCATACTATTCCAAACTATTCTGCTCTCAAGATTTTCGGTTGTGTAGTCTATCCATTTCTTCGACCCTCCAGTGCTCATAAGTTTAATTTCCATACTGTTAAATGTACGTTTGTTGGGTATAGTCTTCAACATAAAGGTTATTAGTATTTAGATCTTTCTGGTCGAGTTTATACATGTCAAAGTGTTCGTTTTGATGAGTCTGACTTCCCATTTCATACTTCCTCCAACTCTGCTTCAACATCTACAACCGCGTCATCTGAATCTTTGCCATCTAAATCCTTGCCAGTTGTTCCTGTCTCTTTTTCTTGGTCTATTCTCACTTCAGTACCTTTAACCAATGTGTCTAGTAATGTTAGTCCTACTACATGTGATCAGTCAGAATTTCCAGCAAGATCTCATGTTTGTCCCACTACACATGCTCATTCCAACTCTCTAGGCTTATTTCCAAGTAACCCGTTTTAGTCATCTTCACAATTGTCTCCTCCGCTAACTTCTTCCAAACAAATTAGTACTTCCTCTACAGATCCTTTTCCGCATTCAGACTTTGTTCTGTCTCCTATAACACTTTCTTCTAATGAGTCATTGACAGGCTTTTCGCAAGTGTACGAAATCGTGCAAGTAATAAAGCTCGAGTAAACGAGTGTCGAATCCCATGAGAACTACTTACTAAGTACCAAACTAGTATATCGTATTGCTATTTGATGCAACATAATTTTAAGAATGAATTTAATGAAAAAAAATATAAACTAAAAACTAAATAAAAGCAGAATTTTATAAATACTTTGGTAGAGAGATCAATATGACTAAACCTAGGGCACAGATTTCACACCAATTTAATCCTATGCATTGACAATTATTCCTAACCTAATTAAGCTTATTCTAAAGGCCAAACTCCTTAATATTCCACTAACTTTCTCTCGAACAATTAGCAAATTAACCCTTAAGCAACAACCCAAAATATCTCTAAGTTGAATTTAGAAGCTAAGAGATCATTAAGTTCTATGGAATTTACTAGAGCCTCACAGATCGCGGTAACATATCTCTAGCGTTCGCTCAATCTATGGTTTTATTACCTTAGACTAATCAGGTTTCATCTCTCGATCTCAACCCAACCCATAAAATCATTCAACTCTCGGCCCCTTAAGAATTGAAAGCATTATGCACAACAATAAAACTTAGAATTAAAATCTCAATAAGAATTAACAACAATTTAAGTCAACACATATTCATAAATTGGGCTACATCTTAGCCCTAGAAATAGATTTAGTTCATAAATACAGTAATGAAAACAACCATTATATTGAATAACATGAGTTCAAGAAAGAAAAATAGAAACACTTCTCTAATTTGTGAACGAGAATCACAAAAATTCTGATCTCCAAAGTAGTAGCCGTCATTTCTCCTCCTTCAAATCAAATCAAATCTTAAAACTAATTAAAAATCCTTATTTATAGTGCTAAGGTTTAGAGGTTACTTAGGAAAATAATTAAAATCCTTAACCCACTCAAATTCGGATTAGGAGAATGTAATAACCCAAACAAGCCCGAGACCCATCGCTGCGGCGATGAGAAACTATCGCTGCGATGATCGTTCTTTCTATCCCCAAAGTCCATGAACTTCAGAATTTGGTAAATTCATCAACACAAACATTTTATTTCTTTGAATAAGCTTTCCAACGCCACTAGAATCGTTGAATTCTGATTACCACAGCTCAAGTTATGATCAAAACATTGAAGCATGCTCATCTTGAAGGATTTCTAGATTTTACGTTGTAGTTTTAACATGTCACAACTTTCTCGTTTCAACTCCGATTCTTGCACCGTTTGTTCCTACTCATCACAAATTCCATCAAAATCATTCTTTTTCCTTCAAATATCGGTTTGAACCTGAAAATACTCAAAATACACCCGTGATCCCGTAAAAGGTATTTATGAAATAATAAATTCTAATTCCAACAATTAAACACCTTTTTCCACAAATAATCCAATTAAATCACTAATAAAATGTATACTTTCAAGCTCTTATCAGTCATATGATACCTTTCCTTTGGAAGTCAGCTTACCTATACCTGCTCCTACAACTCATCATGCACAAGATAAGCCCTTAAACACTCATCCCGTGCAAACCAGATCCAAGACAAAATTTCTCCAAACTGCTCTTGTGTCCACCTCATCTTGTAATGTTACAGAACCAGTTGCTAAAGTTACAGAACTAGTTACTGTATCCGAGGCTCTCTCTCATCCTTCACGAAAGGCAACCATGCAGGCTGAATTTGATGCACTGCAGTCTAATCACACTTGGGAGTTAGTTCCCGTTACTTCTGATATGCATCAAGTGGGTTGTAAGTGGGTGTTCAAAGTTAAAACCAATCCTGATGGTTCCATTCAATAGCTTAAAGCAAGGTTACTAGTGAAAGGATTTCAGCAGACTCCTGGGATTGATTATCTAGAGACTTTTGTCATGTGGCAAAATCTCCAACAATTAGAGTTATCTTGAGCCTTGCAGTTAGCTACGGGTGGGACATCCAACAAGTGGATATTAATAATGCATTTTTGAATGGGGAGCTCACTGAGACAATTCACATGGTGCAACCGGAAGGTTTTGTCAGTTCACAATATCCTTATCATGTTTGCAAATTAATCAAAGCACTTTATGGTCTCAAGCAGGCACCAAGGGCCTGGTTTTATAAGCTTAAGAAGGCCTTTCTATCATGGGGTTTCTCACATTCTTTAGCTGATCCCAGCCTCTTTATCTATCGACACCAAGAAGTGTAAGTCTATATTCTGGTTTATGTCGATGATATTCTCCTCACTGGCAATGATTCAAGTCTGGTTCATAAGATTGTTGCTAACCTCAACACTCAGTTTGCTCTAAAAACTCTAGGTTCACTGCACTACTTTCTTGGGTTTGAAATTACAAGAGATAAGTCTCATCTGCACATAGACCAGGCAAAGTACGCAAAAGACTTACTGGTTAAAACCAAAATGTTGGATTGTAATCCCTGCACTACTCCCATGGCTGTTGGCACTAAATTAGCTCTTGAATACAGTGAACCATTTGAGAATCCAACTTTGTATCGGAGTACCGTTGGTGCACTTCAGTATCTCACGTTGTCTAGGCCTGATGTCTCCTTCTCAGTCAACCAATTGAGTCAGTTTTTTAAGGCTCCAACACAGTTGCACTGGCAAGCCTATAAAAGGCTTCTTCGGTATATCAAAGGAACCTTAAACTATGGAGTATTATACAGTCCTAATAATAGATTTAATCGAATCTGCTATACAGATGCTGACTGGGCTTGCAATCTTTCAAACAAACGTTCTACCAGTGGGTGTTGTGTGTATCTTGGATCTAATCTGATTCAATGGAATTCCAGGAAGCAAAAGGTGGTAGCTGATAAAAGCTTGAAAGTATATATTTTGTTAGTGATGTAATTGGATTATTTGTGGAAAAATGTGTTTAATTTGTGGAATTTGAATTAATTATTTCATAAATACCTTTTACGGGATCACGGGTGTATTTTGAGTATTTTTAGGTTCAAACCGATATTTGAAGGAAAAAGAATGATGTCAATGGAATTCGTGACGAGTAGGAGCAAATGGTGCAAGAATCGGAGTTGAAACGAGAAAGTTGTGACGCGTCGAAAATACAACGTAAAATCTGGAAATCCTTCAAGATGAGCATGCTTTGATGTGTTGATCATAACTTGAGCTGTAGTAATCAGAATTTGACGATTCTGGTGGTGTTGGAAAGCTTATTCAAATAGCTACAAAGTTTATATTGATTAATTCACCAAATTCTGAAGTTCACAGACTCTGGGGATGGAAAGAACGATCACCGCAGCGACCATTTCTCATCGTCGCAGCAATGGGTCACGGGCCTGTTTGGATTATTGCATTCTCCTAATCCAAATTTGAGTGGGTTAAGGATTTTAATTCTTTTCCTAAGTAAGATCAAAACCCTAGGATATAAATAAGGGTCTTTAAGAAGTTTTGAAAGAGATTTTTGAAGGAGGAGAAATGACGGCTACTACTTTAGAGATTAGAATTCTTGCGATTCTCGTTCACAAATTAGAGAAGTTTTTCTATTTTTCTTTCTTGAACTCATGTTATTAAATACAATGGTTGTTTTTATTACTTTAATTATGAACTAAATCTTTTTTCTATGGCTAAAGATGTAGCCCAATTTATGAATATGTGTTGATTTAATTTGTTGTTAATTCTTATTGAGCATTTAATTCTAAGTTTTATTATTGTGCATAATGCTTTCAATTCTTAAGGATCCGAGAGTTGAATGATATCATGGGTTGGGTTGAGATCGAGAGATAAAACTTGATTTGTTTAAGGCAATAAAACCATAGATTGAGCGAACGCTAGAGTTAGGTTACTGTGATCTGTGAGGCTTTGATAAATTATATAGAACTTAATGATCTCTTAACTCTTAAATCCAACTTAGAGATATTTTGGGTTGTTGCTTAAGGGTTAATTCGCTAATTGCTCGAGAGAAAGTTAGTGGAATATAAGGGAATTTGGCCTTTAGAATAAGCTTAATTAGGTTAGCAATAATTGTCAATGCATAGGATTAAATTGGTGTGAAATCTATGCCCTAGGTTTAGTCATATTGATTTGTTTACCATAGTATTAATAAAATTATGCCTTTGTTTAATTTTTAATTTGTTATCTTTTTCATTAAATTCATTCTTAAAATTCTGTTTCATCAAATAGCAATAAAATAGACCAGTTTGGTACTTGGTAGGTAGTTCTCTTGGGATTCGACACTCGTTTACTCGAGCTTTATTATTTGCGTGATTTCGTACATTTGCGAATAGCATGTCAGTAGCATTATCCTCTACTGAAGCAGAATATAGAGCCTTAGCTCAAGGTTCCATTGAGTTAGCATAGTTTTGTATTCTGTTTTCTGAAATTGGGCTGCCACTACCAGAGGTTCCTATCATCTGGTGTGATAATCAAAGTGTCGGATCGTTGGCTTCAAACCATGTCTTTCACCATAGAACAAAACATATTGAGGTAGATGCTCATTATGTCCGGGAGGAGGTTACCTCTAGCAAGCTCAAAGTGCAGTTTGTTCCTATTGAACATCAAACTGCCGATATATTTACTAAAGCCCTATCAGCTTCCAAATTTGAACTACTTCGTGAAAAGCTCAATGTTAAATCACCTCTTGCTGTGCATGGAACTTATGGCTTAGTGACTTCTACGTCTGGTGCTTAGTTGAATTATCCAATTATCTTGAGCAGTTCGTGAAGTGCAGCAGTGCAAATGTGCAGTTTTCTTTTATGTTCAGTTTCCGAGCACCGCGAGCACCTTTTTCGAGCACTTCGAGCACTGATCTGGGAAATGTAGAATGCAGCAATGAAATGCAGCAAGTTTTCATGTGTTCTTGAAGTGTAGCAAGTTTTCGTGTGTTCGTGGAAGGCAGCGAGCATCGAGTATCTAGTTTTCGTGTGTTCGTAGCGAGCAGGGAGTTTTCGTGTGTTCGTGAAATGGAGCGAGTTTTCATGTGTTCGTGAAGTGCAGCGAGTTTTTTGTGTGTTCGTGACGTGCAGCGAACAACGAGCAATAAGTGTTCGTGTGTTCTGTTACTTGTTAATTAGTTGAGAAGGTTTTGTTGAAGAAGGGATGTTAGAATGTAATGAAAGAACATAATGAAGAAGTAAAGAAGTGTGAGGTAAAGAAGTGTGGACGTTTTGTTGAAGAAGGGATGTTAGGAAGTAATGAAATCTGAGCGTTGATTATAGATGACGTGTCAGGGAGTTAGTTTTATTTCTGTCACAGTACACATGCAAAATACATGCAGTGCGCATGTATATATAAAACACTTTATGCATGTATCATTGAAAAATCATCATCAATAATACAGATCTGAATTTTCTCTCTCTTTTGCTCTGTTTTTCTTGCATTTTTTGTTAGTGTTCTAAGTCAGGAAAAACAGAGCAAAAGAGAGAGAAAATTCAGATCTGTATTGTTGATGATGATTTTACAATGATACATGCATAAAGTGTTTTATATATACATGCGCACTGCATGTATTTTGCATGTGCACTGTAACAGAAATAAAACTAACTCCCTGACACGTCATCTACAATCAACGGTCAGATTTCATTACTTCCTAACATCCCTTCTTCAACAAAACATCCACACTTCTTTACCTCACACTTCTTTACTTCTTCATTATGTTCTTTCATTACATTCTAACATTCCTTCTTTAACAAAACTTTCTCAACTAATTAACAAGTAACATAACACATAAACACTTATTGCTCGTTGTTCGCTGCACGTCACGAACACACGAAAAACTCGCTGCACGTCACGAACACATGAAAACTCGCTCCATTTCATGAACACACGAAAACTCGCTGCTTGCTACGAACACACGAAGACTGGATACTTGATGCTCGCTGCATTCCACGAACACACGAAAACTTGCTACACTTCACGAACACATGAAAACTTGCTGCATTTCATTGCTGCATTCTGCATTTCCCAGATCAGTGCTCGAAGTCTCGAAGTGCTCAAAAAAAGTGCTCATGGTGCTTGGAAACTGAACATAAAAAAAAACTGCACATCTGCACTGCTGCACTTCACAAACTGCTCAAGATAATTGGATAATTCAACTAAGCACCAGACGTAGAAGTCACTGAGCCATAAGTTCTATGCACAGCAAGAGGTGGTTTAACATTGAGCTTTTCACAAAGTAGTTCAAATCTGGAATAACCATATTATGACGTCTTCAATCATATTAAATATAAAATAATTTTAAATAATCATAAAAAGAAAAATGATTAAAATCTCATATCTAGATGCTTTCTTGGAGAAGTTGAGTTACAATTTTTCAATCATTCCAGATACTACAAAGAATGACAAAGAAGGATAAAAAGACTTTATCACATTTGAAGTTATAAAATACTAATAAGTAGAAAACAAATAAAGAACTTTTACCTTATAATTGAAAAAAAAAAACTCCCAAATACTGGTTAGAGTTGAGGTATTTTTATGAGCATATATGTAAATTTATCATTTTAAAAACTGTTAGAACCACTGGAAAATAAACTCCGAAGCACAGGTTGGGTGTTTTAAAAATCGCTACTAAAAACTTCTTAATGATTTACCCTTAAAACTGCTACGGTAGTTCACTCTCATAACCGCTATCATGAAACTCCCAAACGGACCTAAGGTTATTAAATGAATTCTCACTAGCTGTTTTATACCACCTCCGTAACAATTCTTGGGAAGATTGTAGATTATTCATGTCAAATCACTACTATATGTGTCGTGATGAAATGGATGATAATACATATTGGACGGAATCTTTTACTGGTTATTATCTGAATATCAAATTTTCTCAAAGATTCATTCTTTCATTTGACATGGGAAGAAATTCGGGAACCGTGCACTATTCCTGAATATAGTGTGACTATTGGGTTATATGATAACAACTCTCTCTCTACTACTTTTAGATGGGATGGATGATTGTTTTGACATATGGGTGAGGAAAAAGAGATGTTGGACCAAGATATTAAGAGTTGGACCAATCATAAGAGTCCATACGCCACTTGGATTCTGGAGGAAAGGTGTATTTTTTTATGCATTCTAATAATCTAAGACTACTCTTATATGACCTTGGAAACGAAGAAATAAGAAATTTAGGACTCAAAAGTAATTTTTTTTTTTTTTCATATTTTTGGTTTCACGTAAAGTCTTATTGAAATCAAGCAAGAAGATAGCTTGCTTGAGAATTTTGACATTCCATGGCATATATTGGGTGTTTACTTACAGATGCATTTTTTTTTCTTATTGTCCTCTTTGCTGGCATGGCATAGTTTCATTTGAGATGCTCCCGTGGACAAAACTAATCAAGTATATCGCAAGAACAAGTTTATCTCTTGCATTTTGCACTTGTTCGGGATTGGAAAATTAGAAAAAAATTCCATTTTCCACGGAAGCCGGCTCGACATATTTGATCTTAGGTACATTTCCCTCTGGAATATTATTGTTTGGGTATGACCGGACAACTACCGATATCTATTAATATCTTTTTTTAGAATGTTGTTGTTAAATATCTATCTATCTATATCGTAAACTATCGGATCTGGTATTACTTAGTTGTGAAACTTGCAGACCTCATTAGTTGTGATATTGATCTTACGGGGGGAACGAAATCAAAGAAGGCTAACATTAATTATATTTTGCT